CTCCTCCTCCTCATCCTGCTCCTCCTCCTCCTCCTCCTCCTCCTCCTCATGCTCCTCCTCCTCCTCTCCTTCCTGGTGGACAGGGGGGCGGCCGTGCGAACACCGCCGCCCTCCCCTCCTGCCTGCGTGACCCTCTGCTCTCCGCGCCCTCCGTCTCTTCAAGACCCCGCGCGGGGACGGTGCTACCGGTGGCCGCTTGCACGCGGGAAAGGGCAGACTCCCGTTGCCGCGCCTCCTCCTTCGTTTCTCCGCCTCACGTCAAGCGGCCGTGCTCTCCTCCTGTACAAAAAGTGCACCACGGTGCACGTGGCCGTGCTCTCATCCCTGTCGCGCGGCCGCGCTCCCGTGTACAACAATACACTGCGGTGCCTATGGCCATGCTCTCACCCCTGTCACACGGCCACAATCCACCGTAAAGGACACACTTCGGTGAACATGGCCGTCCTAAAAATCCTCCTCCTCCTCCTCCTCCTCCTCCTCCTCCTCCCCCTCCTCCTCCCCCTCCTCCTCCACTCGTCGTCGTCGCCGCCGTGGCCGTCGTGCTTGAGTCCGCGTCCCCCTCGGCTTCGTCACCGTCGTCGTCGTCGGTCTCCGCGGCGCCGCCGAGCAGCGCGGCCACGGGCGCGGCGCCCGGCAGCGGCCCCGGCGGGAGGGCGTGCTCCGCCGGGGGCTCTGCCTGTTTTTGGCGCGAGGGGGAGGAGAAGACGAGGAGGAGGAGGAGGAGGAGGAGATGAGATGAGATGATGATGATGATGATGATGATGATGATGATGATGATGATGATGATGATGATGATGATGATGATGATGATGATGATGATGATGATGATGATGATGATGATGATGATGATGATGATGAGGATGAGGATGAGGATGAGGATGATGAGGATGATGATGATGATGATGATGATGATGACGATGAGGAGGAGGAGGAGGAGGAGAAGGAGGAGGAGGAGGAGGAGGAGGAGGAAGGAGAAGACGAGGAGGAGAGAGAAGATGGAGGGAGCAGGATACGGTGGAGGCCAGTCCACAAAAGACCTCCCACGAGAGACCCAACCCTGAGACCCCGGGACCTCCACTGATTTTCGGCGTGGTGACGTCACGCTCTCCATGGCAAGACCAGCGAGATCCAAGAAGCCCAGGGCACCCTGGAGGCACGCAGGGTGGTTCTTGGCATGGGTCTCCACTGTAGTGATGGAGGACGACGGGGAAGGGAGGAGGTGGGGCGAGGACGGGAATGAGGAGGAGAAGGACGGAGGAGAACGACGACGACAACGTGAGGAGAACAACGGCAACGACGACAGTGGCGAAAAGAGGAGGACCATGACGGATGATCAGGGAGGAAGGAGGAGGAAGAGCAGGAGGGGAAATGAGGAGAAAAGGAGGGAGATCGATGACGACGACGACGACGGCAAAGACGAAAGGGCGAAAGAAGAATAATAAGAAGAAGAGGGCGAAGAAGGATGATGGTGGACGTCTCGCAGGGGAGCCAGCGGGCCAACATGCCCTCCTCCTCCTCCTCGCCACCTTCGCCGCCCTCGACCTCGCCCTCGACCTCGCCCTCGCTGCCGCCGCTGCCGTTGTCGTCGCCCCCCTGAGGTCGTCATCGTCCTCCTCGGCCTCCTCCTCCTCCTCCTCCTCGCCCTCGCCCTCCTCCTCCCCGCCCTCCTCCTCCTCGCCGCCCGCCCCTCCGCCCGCCACTCCGCCCGCTCGCCCGCCCTCGGCCACGCCCCCTCACCCCCCCTATCGCGGCGCAGGCTAAGACGAGGCCTCTAAGATCCCGCGGCTCTGCAGGCAAGATGCATCGGGCGCCGCGGCCTTGTCAGGGTGTTTCGGAACGCGCTGAGCGCGTTCCGGAACGCTCTGGAACGAACTTCTCCTCGTCCTAGCCCTAGGTCGGGCATGTATACCTACGGGCGGATTTTGGATGACAAATCAGACATGATCGAAAACATTCGCAATAATATATCAATAGTATGGCAATATATCAATATATCAAAAAATCATCTCCAGACTATTTTTTGACTATTGTTGAATATTCCTCCTGTAGAGGGACAGGCCCGGCTGGAGCGTGGCCCCGTCCGACGGGCCGCCCCCCGCGGCGGCCGCGCCCCGCGGCCTCGGCGACGGGCGCGCCCCCCGAGCCACCGCTGGCCGCCGCGGCGGGCGCGGCGTCGAGCGCGCCCGCCTGGGCCGCCGGGCAGGTCGGGCACAGAGTTGCCATGTCGAACGCATGCGCCGAAATACAAGTGGCACGTGCGCTATGGCTCTTGCACAAAAAAGAAGGGGGAGGAGGAGGTGGAGGAGGGAGGGGGCAAGATATCGCCCCTCGGGGCCCAGCAACGGGGCAGGTTGGGCATCAAGTTGCCATGTCGAACACATGCGCCGAAACATACATACAGGGCAGTGTTTTTATATATATATATATATGTATATATATATATATATATAATTCGTGGGATGTTTAAAAAAAGCATGGGACTTTTAACACATGACGAATTCAAAGATAAATCTATGCATGAACGCATCGTTGTTTTTGTTACTAAATCCCTGCATTTAAAATACATGATCCGCACGCGGAACATGTGTAAACAACGGCACTGTACTCTTTTGCCCAATGGAACGACAACGTACATCTGAAACCCGCTTGAGCCACATAGGGTCCTCATGCAAGCATTTGTCCCCGGCCACGCGTCTTTCTTTGCCTGCCTCCTTCAGGCCCCCAAGACGGCCACGGCGACGGCCCCAGCGACCAGGGCCACGGCCACGGCGGCGGCGACGGCCACGACGCCCTCGCACACAACCTTATCCTCCTCCTTCTCTTCCTCCGCCTCCTCCTCGTTCCCCTCCTCCCCCTACCCACCCCTCCTCCTCCTCCTCCTCCTCCTCCTCCTTGTCCTCCTCCTCCTCCTCCTTCTCTTCCTCCTCCCTCTCCTCTTCCTCCTCCTTGTCCTCCTCCTCCTCCTCCTCGTGCTCCTCCTCCTCCACCTGTCCCCCTCCTACTTTTCCTCCTCCTCCTCCCCCTCCTCCTCCTCCTCCTCCTCCTCCTCCTCCTCCTCACACGGCCACGACGGAGGCGGCAACGGCGACCGCGACGGCGCCGGCGGCGGCGGGCGGCTGGCGGGCGGCCGGCGGTGACGCGGGCGCGGCAGGCGCGGGCCGCGGGCGAGTTCCGGGGGGGGGGTGGGGGCTGGATGGGCGCGGCGCGAGGGTGAAGGAGGAGGAGGAGGAGGAGGAGCACAGCGAACAAAGCGAGGAGGAGGAGGAGGAGGAGGAGGAGGGTGAGCGAGGAGGAGGAAGGTGAGGAGGGGAGGAGGAGTGAGGAGGGTAGGAGGAGGAGGAGGAGGAGAGGAGGAGCACAGCGAACAAAAGGAGGAGGAGGAGGAATGAGGAGGAGGAAGGAGGAGGAGTGAGGAGGGTGAAGGAGGAGGAGGAGGAGGAGGAGGAGCACAGCGAACAAAGCGAGGAGGAGGAGGAGGAGGAGGAGGGTGAAGGAGGAGGAGGAGGAGGAGGAGGAGGAGTGAGGAGGAGGAGGAGGAGTGAGGAGGAGGAGGAGGAGTGAGGAGAAACGAGGAGGAGGAGGAGGAGCAGCATAAACCCAAGACTTGCAACCGATGTCGGAATGAGCCCGCCCTCCAAGCTCCTCTTCGTAGGCCCCTACAAAGACTCATTCCCACTGGGGGAAGCACCCCGTTGGGAGACAACCGTCTGAAGATCCTGAAGCACGCCAAAAACCCATTCTCGGGACACCAACGTCACGAATTAACTTCACTGTTGCTTCTTAGCGATCCCGAGTCGTGCCAGAACACCATTCCTGTAACTTCGACACCGCGAATCAAAGTAACTGTTGCGCCTTGACAGTCCTGACTCATTCCACAATAAATGGTCTGGTACGTTGACCCTGGGACTCCGTGAAACTATTGCCATTTCAAATGTTGAAGACGAATGGACGCGGCACTAAGACGACAACCACATTTTGAAAGGGAGCCTGCATCAATCCGTGAAGCCCTTGCGATGTTTCAAGACTACGACTGTGCGCGGCGCCAAGGCGAGAACGACATTTGAAAACGGCCCACACCCAATCCGCAAAACTCTTGCAATGTGTTTAAAAGACGCGCGCGGCGCTTAAGCGAGAATCGCAATTTGGAAAACGCCCGCCCTCAATCCGTGAAACCCTTGCAAGCAGTTTTTATCGTAAAAAATACGCGCGGCGCTGAGGCGAGAGCCACATTTTGAGAACGGCCGAGCCACAATTTGAAAACGGCGCGCCCTCAACCAGTGAAACGCTTGCAATTGTTTACAACGCATGTGCGCGACGCTGAGGCGAGGGCCACATTGTGAAAACCATCCGCCCTCCATCCGTGACAGTGTTGCCACCTTTTACGTTAAGAGATCATATAGTGTAATATATAAAGCAAACGCACGGCTCGCCCTGCCGACTGGCCTCGAGGAGCGGCAGGAGGGAATCACTTAAAAAGGAAAAGGAATGGACGCGGAGAAGGAGGAGAAGGAGGAGAGGGGGAGGGGGAGGAGGAGAGAAAAAGAGAAAGGGGATATGAGGATAAGATAAGAAGAAGGTGGATGAGACGGCGGGGGAAAGGGTGAGGGGAAGGGGGAGGAGGGGAGGTGGACTGAGAGCAAGGAAAAAGAACAGGGGAAAGAGGAGGGACGAGGTGGAGTGAAGGGGGAGGGGACGACGGTGGCGGAGTAAGATACAGAAAGGGGAGGGGGAAAGTGAAAGAAGGAAGGGACGCAGAGAAAGACGGGAAAGGCAGAAGGGAGGACACAGGACACTTTGAGGTGGATGCAGAGGGAGGTGAGGTACAAGGAGGACAGGACAGGACATCCGCCCAAAAAAGGGTCAACGTCAACACCTACACTGGTGCCGTGAGGAGGACAAGAAGGAAAGAAGGTGAAGAAACGAGGGAAGGAGGGAAGGAGCGGAGGAGGAAGGGGGAGGGAGGCAGGTGGAAGGCGTGCTCCGCGCGGGGGCACATCGCGCGCCTCGCCAGGCGCCTCGTGCTCCGCCCGCCCGACGTCTACCGAGCACCACCCCTCCTCGTCGCTGCCGCTGCCTTGCGGGGTCGCCTGCGCTGGCCGCCGTGAGATGGCGGGGAGGACAGGCAACGGGGCCCTCTCATTCTCCACTCCGTTTGCATCGTCGCCCTCCTCATCCACCAACCAAAACCAACCTCATCATTGCGGTTGTTGTCATCGTCGCCACCACACGACTGCATCATCGCCACCACGGCCATCTTTGTCATCGTCACCCTTGTCATCGCCATCATCCTCATCATTATCCCCTCCTCATCCTCCTCGTCACCCTTCTTCTCCTTCTCCTCCTCCTCCTCCTCCTCGCGTGAACCCGCGCGCGGACGCGGCACGGTGGAACTCCAGGCACGCTCCAAAGGGGCACCTGCACGAGACCGTCGAGAACGTACTGAGCCGGGTCAATGCAAACCCAGGTCAGTCAGACTTGGCATGATCCTGCAAGATCCTGCAGGATCATGCGCCCAAGTCTGGGTCAGTGCGCTCCAGGCCCTGCAAGATCCTGCAAGACCCAGCCACTGACCCCCGTCCGTTGAGCCCCGAGAGCGTCAGACAGCGGCCTGGCTGGCCACCCACGTCGCAAGCACAGCTGCGGACTCGACTCGGCCAGAGTAGACCGAAGCTGCCGCGCTCCAGCACCTGCGCAGCGCCACGCGGAGCTCGGCAGTCCACCGGCGGGCGAGGGTGCTGCGCGGCGGTGTCTGCGCCCCTTACTGCGCAGGGACGGCCTCCGACGATCACCCTGTCAGGGGCTGCAAGGTCAATGTTTCTATTGTTACAGCCTTTCATTTTCCTCCTCCAGTTCTTCCGCCTCCTCATTACATCATCAGCATCATCAACAACAACAGCAACAAAACCATCATCAGAACACAGCATCACCAGCAACCACAGTATCAATACCATCAGCATCAACGGCATCAGCATCAGCATCATCATCACAACCATCATCATCATCATCATCATCATCATCATCATCATCATCACGATCATCACCATCATCATCATCATCGACACCATTGCCATCACCAACACCATCACCATCAGCATCACTATCATCATCACCACCATCATCATCAGTAGCATCGCCATCATCATCACCACCACACATAATCCTCATCAATAGCAGCAGCAGCACAAGCATCACCAACATCAACCTCATCATCAGCTGCAACATCACCATACTCATCAACATCATCAACATCATCAACATCGTCATCATCAGCCGCATCATCATCAGCAACACTAGCATCACAGTCAGTATCAGCATCAGCATCAGCATCGCCATCACCATTATCAGCATCACTATCATCATCAGCAGCATCAGCATAGTCACCATCACCATCAGCATCACCAGCACCAAAATCACTATCATCAGCATCATTACCATCATCATCCTCATCACCAACATCGTCAGCATCATCAACACTACCATCACCACCACCACCATCACCATCACCATCGCCATCACCATCGTCAGCATCATCGTCACCATCATCATCAACAGCATCACCACATCTGCCATCATTTTCATCATCATCATCATCAGCAGCATCATCAGCATCATCATCATCACTATCATCATCATCATCATCATCATCATCATCATCATCATCATCATCATCATCATCATCATCATCATCATCATCATGCTCATCCCTATCATCCCCCGTCCTCTCACCCTCCTCTTCCTATAATTCCGCAGCTGTCTCCCTTGTGTTCCCCTTTCCCCGATGTCCTTTCCTATCTCATCCTGCGCCTCCTGCCCCCGATCCACCGTCCAGCTCTTCCACACCCCCTCCCCTTCCTGCTATGTTTATCATTCCCGGATTGCTCCTGCATGGACTCGCATTACGGGCTTTACAAAAGCTGGCAGGCAGGGCTATTCCAGGTTCCTCTCCACGGCCGCATGTCGGGCAACGCCGCAGCAGCCTGCTAGAACTTGCGGCGTGTCCTGAAAGCGCTCTCCTACTCGCTCCCAGCACGTGGGGCGCTTGCGAAGCTCACTCACAGCGCTTCCCAGGCTCGCGCACAGCTCCCACATAGCTCCTGGGCAATGCTTCCAACGCTCGTTTTTTATTGTTTTATTTGTTTTGTTCCCAACCATCCTGTGGTGTTGGGTCCTCGTTTTGAAGAGACGGTGGCCCGCGTCCCTCCTCTACTCCTCCTCCCCCTCCTTCCTCATTATTCCCCCTCCTCTCTCCTCTCGTCACCCTCAATTTGGCGCACCCCTCACACAGTTCGTGCCCCCATACGAAGACCCCCAAGGTCCCAGTGGTGCAGTTCGCATGGCGGCGCCGCCCCATTCTGGCGCACCCCTCACACGGCCCGTGGCCCCATAGGGAGCTCCATCTACGGTCCCAGTGGTGCAGTTCGCATGGCGGCGCCGCCCCATTTTTGCGCACCCCTCACACGGTTCGTGGCCCCATAAGGGGCTCTCCCCCCCCTCCCCGGCAGGCGCCTGCGCCTCGGGCCGCCTCTCCTGGGCGGCGGGCGGGGCCCCGTCCCGCGGCCGCGCGCCGCGGTCCGCGAGCAGCGCCTCGGCGGAGGGCACGACGGCGGCGGCGGCGACGACGACGACGACGACGACGACGACGAAGACCAGGACGACGACGACGATGATGACGACGGCGGCGACGACAACGCCGACGCCGCCGACGCCGACGCCGACGCCGACGCCGGCGCCGACGACGCCTGCGGCGGAGGCGGCGGCGACGACGAGGTGTCCCGAGGCTGCCCGCGCTTCGCCCGTGGTTTTGGGGGGCTCAGGAGGAGGAGGAGGAGGGAGGAGGAAGTGGGGGAGGAGGAAAGAAGAGGAATGGAAGAAGGATCTTTAGATCGGGCCGCTGCAATTTTGCTCACTCCAATCATGCTTGCCTAGATCAGGGCCCCGGGGCCATCGCATACCGACCCGGCTCTAAAAACGTGGCGGGGAGGTAAGATCCGGGGCTGGGGTCGTGATTGCTGTGCGATGTTGTAACTCTCCCACACCTTCGGATGGAATAGAGCAGGAAAAGGAAGAGGGAGTACGGGGAAGGTGCGTAGGGAGGAGAAGCAGAGAGGAGGAGGGGGGAGGAGGAAAACGGAGAGAAAGCGACCGCCGCCGAGAAAACGAGGACGAGAAACAAGAGCACGAGGAGGGCGGGGGGCAAGACGGCCGCGAACCGACCGGGGGCCCGAAAACAGAAGCCGGGGCTCTCGAGCTCCAGGGCGGAGAAGGGGAGAGGGATTTCTGTTAGTGCTCAACGCCTGCACACCCTTGGTGAAAAAGGACACAGCAGCGGCGGTTGGGAAACCACTGCTGGCAGTGAGGGAGACCTCACTGACCGAAAGAATACCTCCAGCAGCCCCATGGGCTAGGAGGCACTGGCCACACGACGGGCGACCGCCCCGTGGCCAGAGCAAGAGAAAAAACACTGCAGTGCTTTTGCAGGGCATACGGTCGGGGAGGGCAAGTCCTCCCCCGTGCTTGCCGCGCAACCTGTACAGAAAGGTTGGCGGCCCCTCTGAGCAACTGTCACCGCAGGGGAGACATCACTCCACGGCCATGCGACAGGGGGCGAGGACACCACTGGGCAGTGAAAAGGACGGCCACAACGATCACCCTGCGCCTCGGATGATCGCCGCCGCCCGCGCGCGCAGCGCCCGCCGCCGCACATCATCCTCCACGTCGTCCGTAAAACGGCCGTCGGGGGGGGGGGCAGCAGCGGCAGCCCCAGCACCAGCAGCCCCACCAGGAACAGCCGCGGCAGGGCGCACCGCCTCCACGGCGGGCGCCGCGCGGCGCACGGGGAGCAGGTCGGCCCAGCTGTCATCCACCAGGGGTGACGTCGGGGCCACGACGCCCTCGACCTGCGAGCCCTTCAGGACGCCACCGTCCACTACCATGCTGCCGCCGCCGTCGCCGAGGTCGGGAGCGGGGGCGAGCGCCAGCGCACCAGCGCCGCGGCGCCTGCGAGCCCGCCGCCGCCGCCGCCGAGGCTCCTGGCCTTCAGGCGGCGCGTCACCTGCGGGGGCTGCAGGCGGCCCCATCGCACCTCCACCATCAGCCACACCATCGGCCGCATGGCGGGCTGCCCGAGGCTCCGCCTCGAGCATCGCCGCTGCAGCCCAAACAAGGCCCTCGGTCGAGCGTAGCAGCCTGGCAGCCGCCGCACCCCGCGCCAGACCAGCAGCGCCATGCACCGCCAGCGCGGCCCCACGGGCCGCAGCCAGCGCCGCGCGGCGATCCGTCGCCGCCGCCATCGCATGCCCGCGGCGGGCGCGGCGACCCAGCGGCGGCGAGCTCGACGCGCCACGGCTGAAGGGGAGAGGGGAGAGGAAGTAGGAGGATGAGGGGAAGGGGGAGGATGAGGAGGAGGAGGAGGAGGAAAAGGAGGAGGAGGAGGAGGAGGAGGAGGAGGAGCAGCAGAAGGAGGACGAGGAGGAGGAGGAGGAGGAGGAGGAGGAGGAGGAGGAGGAGGAGGAGGAGGAGGAGGAGCGCGAAATGCTCGCGGCGAGGAGGAAGAGGGAGGAAGAAGAGGAGAAGGAGGAGGAGGAGGAGCAGGAACAGGAGGATGAGAATGATAATGATACTGATGATGATGATGATGATGATGATGAGGATGATGATGATGAGATGATGATGATGATGATGATGATGATGATGATGATGATGATGATGATGATGATGATGATGATGATGATGATGATGATATGATAATGATGATGATTAATAGGATGAGATGAGGATGAGGATGAGGATGAGGATGATGATGATGATGATGATGATGATGATGATGATGATGATGATGAGATGATGATGATGTGAGGATGATGAGGATAAGGAGGAGGAGGGCGAGGAGGAGGCAGGGGAGGAGGCGAGGAGGAGGAGCAGAGAGGAGGAGGAGGAGGAGGAGGAGGAGGAGGAGAGGAGGAGCAGGAGGAGGGAGGCCGAGAGCGAGAAGGACTGGGGACGTGGGAAGGAGGCGATGAAGGCGAATAAGGAGGCGGAGGAGGACGAGGAGGAGGAGGGAGAGGAGGAGGAGGAGGAGGAGAGGAGGAGGAGAGGAGGAGGATCAGCAGCATCTGGAGCAGGAGCAGGGGAAGGCGACGAGGAAGGAGCGCGGGCTGGGGCGGGGCGGGGACAATCCTCCAGCTCCGCCAGCCGCAGCGCGAGCAGGGCCCTCGCCCGCTCGGTCTCCGCCGCCCCGCGCGCGGCCTGCGCCGATCGGAGGTGGGACGAGGAGGAGGACTCGCGGGGGCAGGCGGGACTCGCGGGGGCAGGGGCAGCAAGAGCAGGAGGAGTAGGAGGAGCAGGAAAGGAAGGCGGAGGCGGAGGAGGCAGAGGAGGAGGAGCAAGCGGAGGAGGAGGAGGAGGAGGAGGAGGAGGAGGAGGAGGAGGAGGGGAGGAGGGAGGACGAGGAGGAGCGGAGGAGGAGGAGGAAAAGGAGGAGGAGGACGCGGCGGAGGTGGAGGAGGAGGAGAAGAAAGAGGAAGAGAAGGAGGAAGAAGAGGAAGAGGAAAAAAAGAAGGACGAGGAAACGGAACATGAGGAGGAATGGGAGAAGAAATAAGGAACGGAAGAGGAGGAAAAGAAAGAAGAGGAGGAGAAGGAGAAGGAGGAAACATAACGGGAGGAAGAGGAGGGAACGGACGAGAGGAGCGAGGAGGAGAAGGAGGAGGAGGAGGAAGGAGGAGGAGGAGGAGAAGGAGGCGAGGAGGGACGGAGGAGGAGGAGGGGAGGAGGAGGAGGAGGGCACAGAAGAGGAGGAGGAGGAGGAGGAGGAGATGAGGAGAGAAGGAGGAGGAGGAGGAGGAGGAGGAGGAGTGCGAGGGGGAGGAGGCGGGGAGAAGGAGGAGGAGGAGAGGAGGAGGAGGAGGAGGATAGTGAGGAGGAGGAGGCGGCGAGGAGGCGGAGGAGGAGGAGGAGGAGGGGGAGGAGAAGGAGGAGGAGGAGGAGGAGGAGAAGCAAGGAGAGAGGAGGAGGAGGAGATGCAGCAGCATCAGGAGAAGAAGAGGAGGAGGAGAAACACGAGGAAACAGTGGTGGAGGAGGAGGAGGAGGAGGAGGAGGAGAAGAAAGAGGATAATCAGAAGAAGAGGGAGGAGAGGAGGAGGATCATGAGGAGGAGGAGAAGGAGGAGAAGGAGGAGGAGGAAAAGGGGGAAGAGAGGGAGGAAGGAGGAGGAGGAGGAGGAGGAGGAGGAGGAGGAGGAGGAGGAGGAGGAGGAGAAGAAGGAGGAGGAGGAGAAGAAGGAGGAGGAGGAGGAAGAAGAAGAAGGGGGAGGAAACTTCGGGTAGGGCAATCAGCGTGGTGCGAAGAAACGTGTGCTCTCCGTGCACCTTTTGAGCGCACGGCGGCAGCTAAGGGCCCGGTGGGGCCCCTTTAGGGCCACTTCCCTGCTATCCTCGATCCCTCCCACGGTTACTTTGGGCTGGCGCGACTCTACCGCACACTTGGACCGACGAGCGCAACCCGGCCTGACCTGGCCACCTCCGCGTGGGCCTGACCAGGCCGCCTCCGCGTGGTCCCTCCTCCTCCTCCTCCTCCTCCCTCCTCCTCCTCCTCCTCCTCCTCCTCCTCGTGGTCCCTCCATTTCGTGGTCCCTCCTCCTCGTGGTCCCTCCTCCTCGTGGTCCCTCCTCCTCCTCCTCCTCCTCCTCCTCCTCCTCCTCCTCCTCCTCCGTGAGCGGCGGAACTGCGTCCCTGTGGTCCTCCCTCCTCCAGGTTCCTGGTGCCCGCTGGCTCGAAGGCTCGTCGGACGCAGCCGCCCCACCCCCCTCCCCTCGGGGGCGCCAGTCGGCCCTGGGCGGGCGGGTCCAACGAAGGCCCGGCGGCTCCTGGAGCACCACTCCAGACGTCGCCAGCGGGTGGCAGTAAGAGGTGTAGATGCGAGGCGGGGATATCCAAGTGCCAGCCTGGGAAGCGACGCCCCGGTGCCCCAGCGGGCGGTGGAGCTGGGTATCTTCAGGCCCCCGGGGGCCCGAGTATATCCATACCTATACGACCACCCTTCAGGTGACAAGGAGGTTGTGGGGGGGGAGAGGGGGGAAACTTACATCTGACTCAATCGACCTTACTATCGATCTCACTCAACGGGACACCACGGGACACCACGGGATACCTGTCGATCTTACTATCAATCTCACTATCGATTTCACTTTTGGGGACACCACGGGACACCACGGGGCACCTCGGGGCACCACATCGATCTCAGCATCGATCTCAGCATCGATCTCACTCAACGGGACACCACAGAACACCACGGGACACCGCGGGACACCGCGAGCCACCGCCGGACGGACGGACGGACGGGCGGGCGGGGGAGAATCAGTTGTCTTGACTTCGCCCTAGCAACGGCGGACACCACGGGACACCACGGGACAACGCGGGACTCCGTGGGACACCGCGAACCACCGCCGGACGGGAGGGAGGGGGAGAATCATTTGTCTTGACTTCGCCCTAGCAGCGGCGGACACCGCAGGACACCCCGGGGCTCCACGGGTCACCGCGGGACACCGCGGGCCACCTCCGGACGGGAGGGCGGGGGCGAATCATTTGTCTTGACTTCGCCCTAGCAACGGCGGACACCACAGGACACCACGGGACACCACGGGACACCGCGGGACACCGCGGGCCGTCGCTGGATGGGCGGGAGGGGAACAATCATTTGTCTTGACTTCGCCCTGGCAACGGCGGGTTCATTCCTTTCGCGCGCCCACGCAGCTTCGCCTCGCCCGAACGCACGACACGAACGAAACGAAACGATTTCCTGGTTGGGGGTCTCCGTTCCACCGCGATCTCACCCCGCAACCTCCGATCCACCGCCTGCCGAGGTCCCCGAAGATTGATCCTCCAGGCGGTGGTCATGTATAAATTCCCGCCGCGGAGTACATGAAGAAACCGATAGCAGTGGCTCGCCATCGCTCAGAAGTCCACTCCCCGCGCATGACTCGATGTCGCGCGTGTACCTCTCGCAAGATGATCCAGGATGCTCCTCCACAGTCCTCGCCCCCAGAACATGCACACGCCCCAGCGATGCCCAGGTAGGGGACTCCCCTCCTCCTCCTCCTCCTCCTCCTCCTCCTCCCCCCTCCTCTCCCTCCTCCTACCCTCCCCTCCTCCCTCCATCCTCCCTCCCCCCTTCCTCCCCCCGCTCCTCCTCCTCCTTTCGCCCCCCCCTCTCCTCTTCCTTCCTCCTCACCCCCCTCCTCCTCCCCCTCCTCCTCCTGCCTCCCCCTCCTCACGCCCTCCTCCTCCTCCCCCTCCTCCTTCCTTCCTCCCGCTCCCCCCCTCCCCTCCTCCTCCTCCGCCCCGCCTCCTCCTCCTCCTCCTTCCTCGCCGCCTCTCCTCCTCCTCTCCCTCCTCCTCCTCCTCTCCTCCTCCTCCTTCTCCTCCTCCCCCTCTCTCTCCTGCCCCTACTCCTTCCTTCTCCTCACCCTTCCTCCTCCCCCTCCTCTCCCTGCCTCCCCCTCCTCCCCCCGCCCTCCTCCTCATCCCCCTCCTCATCCTCCTCCCCCTCCCCCTCCTCCTCCTCCCCTCCGCCGCCTTCCTCATTCCTCCCTCCTCCTCCGCCGCCTCTCCTTCCTCCTCCTCCTCTCCTCCTCCTCCTCCTCCTCCTTCTCCTCTCCTCCCCTCCTCCTTCCTGCCTCCCCTCATCCCCGCCCTCCTCCTCTCCCCTCCTCCTCCTCCTCCCCCTCCCCCTCCCCTCCTCCTCCTCCGCCGCCTCCTCCTCCTCCTCCTTCTCCGCGCATTCTCCTCCTCCCCTCCTACTCATCCTCCTCTCCTTCCCCTCCTCTTACCTCCTCCTCCTCCCCTCCTTCCTCTTTCTCCCCTCCTCCTCCCCTCCTCCTCCTCCTCCTGCCCCCCCCCCGTGGCCGCTCGCCCGAGAGCTGGGACGGGTGCGAGCATCCGGGGGTGGCCTTGTCCGCCCTCTGGCGCTCCGCCTCCACGGCGGCCTGCAGCTCGCCCAGCCGCCGCTGCAGCTCCGCGGCCCTCGCGTCCTGCACGGACCCCTCCCCAACCTCCTCCCCCTGGTCCTCCCCCCTCCTCGTTCTCCTTTTCCTCCTGTTCCTCCTCCTTCTCCCCCGGAGAGGAGAGGAGAGGAGAGGAGAGGAGAGGAGAGGAGAGGAGAGGAGAGGAGAGGAGAGGCAGGGGACAGGAGGAAGAGAAGACGAGAAGAGAGGAGGAGGGAAGGAGAGGAGAGGAGGAGAGGAGAGGAGCAGGAGAGGAGAAGAAGAGGAGAGGAGGAGGAGGAGGAGGAGGAGGAGGAGGAGGAGAGGGGAGGAGGAGAAGGAGGAGGTGCGGCAAGAGGGGAGGAGGAGGAGGAGGAGGAGGAGGAGGAGGAGAGGATGAGAGGAAGGGGAGAGGGCGAGGAGAGGAGGGCACGTGCCATCGGCGGGCACCTCCGCCCGCAACGCCCAGATGCTGCTCTGCACGCCTATCCGCAAACGTACCGCATCAAAACAGAGGAGGAGGAGGAGGAGGAGGAGGAGGAGGAGGAGAAGAAGGAGGAGACGGAGCAAAAGGAGGAGGAGGAGGAAACGAATATCGACAAAGACGACGAAGACGACGCTCCTGCTGCTCTGGCTCCTGCTCATGCTGCGCCTTAGGAAAAAAGGGATAGGAGTACGACAGACGAGGGCTAGGAGACGGAGAGGAGGGAAAGCGGGGCAGCATGAGGTCGAGGAGGACAGAGAGCAGGTTGAAGATGAGGAGGGGGAAGTCAGAGGGGAAAATGAGGCACGATGAGGTAAAAGCTACGGAGGACTACCCCATAATTCCCGAGATCCCTCCTTCTACCTCCCCCTCATCCCTTCCCCCCTTCCCTTGCTCCTCCTCCCTCCTCCATCCTCGTCCACAGTCCTCCTCTTGCTCAGCCGCCGCCTCATCTTCCTCCTCTCCCTCGTCCTCGTCTTCGTCGTCCTCGTCGTTGTCCTCCTGCGTCTCCTTCTCCTTCACGTCCTCCTCATTAGTTGTTGCCCCTCTGCTCAAACATATGTTCACGTTCGCAGATGTGCTTCATGTATATACTTGGGCTTGGAAAGGGGACGTCACCCCAATTAAACTTGCAGAAGGCCTTGTTGCCGTGCATTGCAAGACTGTCTCCGAATAACTCAATCAATTGTCGGGCCCCCTCCTACGCATCAAGACCGCCCTGCAGACAGATTATTTTGCCATGCTCCGGGTGTGAGTACCAAGGTCATGTGACTCGTGGAGCTTCCTCCCATGAAAAAAGCCGGAGGGCCTCCGGGAGAGAGCACCGCCTCTCGCCGCCGGCCTGGCGTGCACGGAGCGCCGACGAAGCATTCCGCTCGGGACGTGCCCCCCCGTATGCAGTGAGCACAGCCCACTCCCGCAGGCGGCGAGACGCCCGATGCCACCCACTGATGATCAAATGCGTCGCGGCGACCCGGCAGAGGCCAAGCGCGACTTGTTCTCAGAGCAGCAGGATCTTAGAAGATAGCACCAGTGTTCCTAGAACGGAATGCCGATGCATTGACACAGTCACACATGCACTTAGACTCCTCAGACTCACAAAAACCTTTAGCTCTCCGAGGGGGCGCCAGGGGTCAGAACATTCCGGGAGTCGCGCCCAGACTGTGGGGATGACTCAGGCCGTTTGCTCATTCGCGTGCTCAACATCCTCTGGTCTCGGAGCAGACTTTGAGGATGTCTCAGGCGAGGCGCTGGTTTTTTATCACTCCGTAATGGGGGCGCAGAGACTATTCTGTCTCAGGCGGTTTGCTTGTTAGCATGCCCAACATCTCTTGCGCTCGGAGCAGATTTTGAGGGTGTCCCAGGTCTCATGTAAGGCGCTGGTTTCAGCACTCCCAAGGGGGGAACGCCAGGGGGGTATGACATGGGCACGTTCGCGCCCAGATTGTGGGGGTGCATTAGGCGGTTTGCCTTTTTCGTGCCCACCATCTCTTGCTGTGGAACATATTGCGCGGATGTCTCAAGCGAGGTGCTGATTTCAGCACCCCCAAGGGGTGAGGGGGGACGCCAAGGGGTAGTCGCCCATTCGCGCGCAGATTGTGAGGATGACTCAAGCGTGATGCCTGTTTGCGTGCACAGCGTCTCTTGCGTTCGGAGCAGATGTTGAAGATATCTCAGGCGAGACGCTGGCTTCAGAACCCCCAAAGGAGAAACACCAAGAGAGTTTGACACTTGCCTGTTCGCGCCCAAACAGTGGGGATGTCTCAAGCGGCTTGCCTGTTTGCGTGCCCAACGTCTTCCGCTTTCAAAGCGGATTCATGATATCTCAAGCGAGGCACTGGTTTCAGCACCCAAGGGGGAGCCGCCAAGGGGTATTTCACAGGCGCGGTCACGCCCAGATTGTGGGGATGTCTCAGGCTTCAGGTCTCAGGCGGTTTGCCTGCTTGCGTGCCCAACATGCCTTGCCGTTGGGGCAGATTTCGAACATGTGACAGGCGAGGCGCTGTCTTCAGTACCCCAATGGGGGAGCCGCCAGGGGGTATGTCACGGGCCCGCTCGCGCCCAAATTAAGGGCTCCCAACTTCGCGCTTCGCGCTGCGCGAAGCGCGAAGTGCGAATAACTTCGCGCTCTCGCGCCGCCTCCCAGGGGAGAAGAGGAGGATGAGGAGGAATCGGAGCCGAACCGCGAAGCGCGAAGCGCGAATAACTTCGCGCCCTCGAGGGCGACCTTGCAAATTGTCAGGATGTCTGAGGCGGTTTGCCTGTTTCGGCGCCAGCCTCAGGCGAGGCGCTGTCTTCAGCACCCCAAGGGGGAACCGCCAAGGAGTATGTCACGGGCCCGTTCGCGCCCAGACTCGCTCGGCCTGTCAGGTTTGACCTCACTCATTCCCCCTCTTCGTCACATAGGCGCATTCACACTCAGGCTTACTCACCAGCACCCCGTCCTCACCAAGACTCACTCACCACACTCATACCCACCCATACTCATACTCAGTCATACCCAGACCTACTCCAAATATCAACTCATTCACAGTCAGGCTAGCTCACATTCAGGTTTGCTTCCACTCAGCTCAGACTAATGTGCACTCGGACTTACTCACTCTCAGAGTCACCCACCTTCAAACTCACGCATACCCACACTCATTCGTAAATAGACTTACTCATGCCCAGACTCGTATCTATCGAAATCATTGTCATAGTCATTCGCACTCAAATCGCTCGCGCTCATACTCACTCGCACTCAGGCTCACTCACTCTCATATTCAAGCATTATCAGGCTCAGCCTTACTTTGACCCACTCGTACTCAGACTCAGACCCATCATACTCATATTCATACCCACTCACGCTCAGACGGAATCGCACTCAGACTCTTCGCGATAAGACTCACTCCAACCCAGACTTACGCATAATTACTCAGACACGCTCGTACTCAGACTCCCTGATACCAGAACTCACTCACACTAAAACTCAATTACACCCAGGCTCACTCACACACTCAGACTCGCTTCACACACGCTCAAATCACTCACGCGCACACTCATTCGCAGTATGCTCTCGCTTGATGTTCGAATGGTAATTCGCTCGTCGATTTGTACTTGCTCGTCGGTCCTGAAAGGGTTCACTCGTTTTCCAAGAAGGAACCATTTTTTGTAAAAACAAAGTCACTGAAGTCTTCGCTGTCGTCGTTGCTGCCGCGACCGTCGCCTACGCCGACTCGCTCTCGCACCCAACTGCTCACAGGCAGAATTATTTTGCGAGGCAGGCGTGGCAGGAATAGGAGACGCGCAAGTGCGGATCGCCGCTTGGAGTAATTTTGAACACTCCTTGGTGGGCCTACAGTCGGGCGTTGACAGGACTGGGCTTAGCGTGACCTGGTTTAGTGATGTGTAATGGGAGACGCCCCCCCCGCCCCAGTCCACTGAGCGGAACTGCCGTCACCTGGAAAACACCGGCTACGGCAGACCTGGTCTCGTGATTCCCACTCGTGTTTGGGATCCTGTGGCCCAAGACCACCAGCCGGCTCCCCTCAACCAGGGCCCTGGCTATACCCGACACTGGCACGCAAGCGCGCTTCGCCACTGCTCGAAGGCTGCGCCCGCCGCGGGCCAGCCCGCCGGCTCGGCGGCCCGCCGGCTCGGCGGCCTCCCTCGGCTCCCGCCCTCGCGCCCGAGGAGAGGCCCGCAGCTACTGCGCTGCAGCGCGCAGCTCAGCTCCCCCCCCCTTTGTGCGTCACCCCCCCCCCCGTCCTTCGAGTCCTGCGAGGCTGTTGTTCTTTTACGGGACCACGTGCGAAACCTATCCCTGCCCCCCACGATTTTGCAGGGGGAGGGTGGTGTTCACTTCGCTCGGGAGCTCCCGAACGAAGTGAACCCCACCGTGGAAGAGCGACGGCGGCGCTGTCTAGAGGACCGGGACGGCAAGCCGCCGGGCCTCGAAGCATACCGACGGGGCCCTGGGACAAACAAATAAATACACACAAATAACAGCATTCTCCACATCTTCTTATATTTTCTGGGTTTCTGTCTCCCCCCCCACTTCCCATGTTTTTCCAGATTTCCTGGGGGATCGACGATGAGATGGTGTCTGTGTGTTTCTTTCCCTCCTGGCATACAGGAGCTCGAGTTTGAACAGAGAGGGGGGCAAACATGGTGGCCCTGATTTCCACCACCACCCCCATAAGTAGGAAGGGGAGGGTCCTCCTCCTCCTCCTCCTCCTCCTCCTCCTCCTCCTGCACCTCCTTCCCCCTCCAACTTATGGTGGTTGTGGTGGAAAACAGGCCCATCAAAACAGTGAGTGAACGCCCTTGCCCGCTCACAGCTTCCGAAGAGACATGCCGGGCGATGTCGCACTGGCATCGTCTCGGGCTCGCCCCTCGTGACGACGGCGTGCAAGAGAGCGCTATGTAGGAGAGCCCAGCCCGCCAGTCGGCAAGGCTCGGGCAGGCGCTCAGAGAAGAAAGCTTCCTCCCTCGAGGGCCTTGGGGGAGGAGGAGGAGGAGGAGGAGGAGGAGGAGGAGGAGGAGGAGGAGGAGGAGAAGGAGGAGGAGGGAGGAGGAGGAGGAGAGGCCGATCCGACCTCGTCTACTGCCATGGGCTGCTGGCCTCCTGGGCTCTGACATCGCCAGGGGGGCGAACAACCTGGACGCGGCCGCGCCGTGACGGGGCGTGGTCGCGCATCACCTGGCCGAGCGTACGAGAGACGGACGGGGGGATGGAGGAGATGCAGGTGCTGGTCCGCCTCGGTCTGGGTCAGGCGCTGCGACTCGCAAGCCACAAGGACATGCTTCTCTGCCGACATGTTCGGCAACATTCATTCTTCATCTGACGCCAGCTGCCCCGGAACGGAAGGTGTCCGAAACCTGCCCGGTGATTCGCAACGTGGTACACGTCAGACCAGTCTACTTCCACAGGGGCCCAGTTGCCGACGAATGATGGCAGAAGATGGAGGAGGAAGGGGGGCATGGAGATGGAGCAGGAAAGGGGGGGAGGAGGAGGAGGGAGGAGGGGAGGTAGGAAGTGGAGAAGGAAATGAGGGGGGGAGGACGAGATAGAGCAGAAGTCGGGGAGTGGCCCCCCCCCCGAGCGCAGACAGACGGCGGGCGAGCTCCCGCTCCGCAGCCCGCCCCTCCGCCTCCGCGCAGCGGCGCTCGCTTGCCTGCAGGCCCCCCAGGGCAGCGGCGGACCCGCCGGGCCGCCGACGCAGGGGGAGAGGGGGGGGCGGCCGGGCGCTTGTGTGGCCCATTGGGTGTTTGTGTGGCCCGTTACGTGTTTCCTTATATCAGCTGAACACCTCTGGGAAATTCGTGAAGGTTTGCATTGGCGCCCAAGAAAAAAGTGGCCACACAAACACCCATCCTAGTGCGTGTAGCGGTAGTCATCGTGATGGTGGCAGCGGTGGCAGTGGCAGTATTAGTAGTCGTAGTAGTAGTAGTAGTAGTAGTAGTAGTAGTAGTAGTAGTAGTAGTAGTAGTAGTAGTAGTAGTAGTAGTAGTAGTAGTCGTAGTAGTCGTAGTAGTAGTAGTAGTCGAGTAAGTA